AAGCAGCAGTTCTAATTTTATTTCAGTGTTGATGTCCATAACCTTTCCCACATGGTTTTTCCTTTTAAAATCTCTAACATTCTGAAGTAGCCTATCAATCCACACTTCCCTCTACACGTAGAACCAGACCTCCCTGCACAACATCTATTACAACATTCAGACCCTGAGTGTTTCAGTGCTGCCAACCACAGTACATGTGCATTTTATCACTGGGCCACACCAATTCTTCCTTCTATCTCCTATTCTTCTTAGTCTCCCTCAACTGCTTCTTTTCCCTTTCCTCTCTTTGAAACACTTAAGTTGCCAATGCCCCTTTTTATAATTTTATTGTTTCATAATAGAAAATAGTTATCTTAAGTTTTTTCCCTTTCCATTTCTCTGTAACTCACACAAAGAATCCTTTATTTCCACAATGATTTAATATTATTTAACTGTATCTTTCCCACTTCTTAAAAATCATGCATGGCTAAACCATGCATGACCAAGCCCTAGCTTTTGTAACATCAAGTATTTCTACTCATTTTTCAGAAGAGCTCCACTGTTTTGTAAGTCCTCAATTATGAAACCAAAAAAGTGCAGAGCTGCAAGATATGTCCATCAGGCTATATCTATAAAATCACTTTTTCAAAACAAGGAAACACCAAAGGCAGAAGAGACCTGTAGAAAGGAAGTTCTGCTGTTTCTCTGAATCTATAATGTTTTAAAAATAATTTTACTTTTTTCCACTTTCAACAAAAGCTCTATATCCTGGTGATGTGTCTTCTTTATTATGAAGGAAGAAAAAATTCCCTAAATCCAGTCTTTGAATTGAAGTGACTAGTCTTGACTGCAAGAGCAATCCAACCTGCACAACCTCTCCCAGGTCAGTCAAGGGTTAGGGGACCACATCTCCTCTCTCTACTCCTATTGCCTCAGTGCTCTTACCAGCCAAGTTCTCACTCCCAGGATACTAACTGCTCAAATCTACTTTAAAAAAAACAAAAGCCTATTTCTACAAATTATGCCCATTCTCACAAATCCTTAAATTAGGAAAGAAGATGAAAATATTCTAAATTTCCTTGAAAATCATTGAAAAGCTTTAAGTCAAAATAACAACACTGCTTTAGCATAAACTTAGCAAATCTGCTGAGCCAGAGGCAAAGTAGTTCAGATGTAGACAGGTCCCATCCTGTCCTGACAGATCAACAACCCCCAGGCAAGTGGAAAGAAGCCGCCATGCGCGCAGACACACCTTCGGGCAGGCAGGCACTTCTCACACAGGTTACAATACAGTAAGTTGTATTGGTAGTAATCCAAAGATTCTAGTCTCTGTCTACAGCAACTACATTTCATAACAGCATGATTTACTCCAATACACACACTTTATTTTAAATTATGCCACTAGCACTTGGGAAAAAAGTCATTTATTTGCATTGCTTCCATTTTTCTACTGTAGTGTTAGGACTTGACATTAGCATCACTCTCCTACTTCCTATTTACAGTTCATTCGGAATTTACTACAAATACAATATACAACTTTAAAAAACTTATGGGGAACTGTAGTTTTTGTTTTTCTCTCCTCTTTAGAGGTTTCTCAAAATCATTCAACTTAAATGAAAATTTATATGGACATTTTCTGTACACATCTGAAAGGACAGAGATTACACTGATAAAGCCAAAAGAATTTTGCACAAATACAATACAGAAAACAGAAAGTACAGATGATGTTATTTGGGGTACAAATATAAACAATACAGTACCATTTGAGTAATTTAGCAACATAATACTCATACTTTATAGAAATAAGACTGCAAACCTGGAGAATGCTCTGACAAATACTAAACATTATATATACAATGAGGTAAATGTACCTTAGTCTCTTGAGAGGTAATTTAAGTTTAAAGCAATTGACGTTTTGAAGCATCTCCTTGACATATAAAGAAATATCAAAAACCTCATTCCATTGGCACAACGTGAAAAAGGGTTATCAAAACACAGTTCATGATAATTCAATTCACAAATCTTGTTAAAAAATAAAAACAAATTCACTGAAGTTCTTTTTAAGCTTTAAGAAACAGGTTGAATGTTATTAACCACATTTTTAAAAGTTTACAATTACAAATAAGATTGCATAATGGGATTAAAAAGTTTAAATGACAATACTCAGAATGTCCTAGAAGTCCAGCATTCCCAGAGAGAGGGCCCATGGATATTCCAGCATTCCAAAACAGACACAAGAAGCTGCAGTATATGTCCAGAGCTATTCTTTAGGATCTCAAAAATATCGGAATTGGCATTTTCCGCCAAGCTGTAACAGAACCATTATTTGGAATCTCCACCATTTGGAGCCAGAACACTGCCACGTCGAGAAACAAAAGAAACAGCTGACTTACAATCACTCTTTCAGTGCAAGGACAAAAATAAACTCTTGATATGACACGTCTAATGGGATACTGATTTTGTTGTGTATTTTAATTAGCACTTTGCCATCTTGTTTTAAAAAATATTCTATGTGATAGTTCTCAGATGTAGAGAAAACCAAAAGGTAACTCCTGCAAGAACTGCAAAATGGCCAAGTGACCCCTTCAATTTTGTAATACCAACTGAAATTTCGAATTCTTCCTGGCCATGGCACTGTACATGACTCAAGGCACTTCTTGAGCACTATCATTACAGCAGAATTACAGGCTCAGCTCTTTGGGCCTTACTCTGTCCTGTGGAGGATACAACTGGCCACTGCTTCTGGCACAACTCCCATTGCCACAGGTGCCACCTTGCTGCCATCCCACTCCTTGGCCATGGCCCAAGTCAAAGCAGGGCAGCCAGCAGGGCCATCATCCACCCAATCTCCAAACTTGGAGACCCCTCCCAGCAACATCCAATGACTCAAGGAAATGGAAGTACGTCATAACTTCCATCAACCACTCACTCTAGATAAAAGCAGCTATTCAGTCAAAACACTACTGGGGGGTGAGGGGGAGGGTGGTGGTAAGACAGTGGTCTCTGAGTTAGGGACCAGCAGGAAGGCAGGTTGGGAGAAACAGCTTAAGTTATCAAAGAAGGACAAGGATGTCTGCGCTCCACTGAGTCATACCTCCCCACCCCTATTCCTCAGGGATACTGACAAAACAGATGTGGACAGGTAATTTGCCTGAAGGTGTATTTTAGCCAAGTTGAATTTTGGAAGGTGAGCATCTAAAGATAGGCAGTATAAACAAAGGCTTGTCTTTCTAAATGACAAAATTAATACTCTAGTCAAATTTATCTGCAGTTATGGCCATAGTAATTATGATCTATTTCATTCTTTAAGTTACTTTCACTTTCAATTTTAGACAACTGGGGTTTATAAAACCATCATTAGCCAAGAAAGGAATTAGCTGCAGTAATATGTAAATCCAATTTAGAACTAAATTCCAACTTTTAAAAAATTCCCTGACTCATCAAAAGTACATTTTATCCACTTACGCAAGAACGGTATAATTGTAACTCAATCTTTGATTTAATAAAGAATATCTTCAGCAAAAGTTTATTACCTCATATGAAAGTGAGAAATCGTGTGCCACAACTTTAAACCAGACAAGAACTTTTGGTATGTTCTTAAAAATTACATAAAAAAAGTTCTAGCGACAAAATGCATTGGTCCCCTGGATTTCATAAAGCAGATCTGGTAGGCTTAGAAATGGCCAAAAAAAAGAAGTACCTGATCATAGAGCTAGAGATTAAACAGGAAATATAACACAATTATAAAAACAAACCTCTCAAACTCATTCATTTGCTTTGATGAAATCATGGTAACTACAGAAAAAACTCAAATTTGGAGTCAAAATATGAACCTCTAAGCACATTTTCCCCATGATGTTTTTAAAACATGAAATTGACACTAAATTCCTATGTAATATGTCATTCATTCTAAAATTACTTTGGCTTTAAGACCAAATAGTCTTTTAATTTATTCTATGTAAAAGAGATAAGACATTATCAGAATGCAGCTCAGTCAGCATAAACGGCCACTATCTCTTACTGACCAAAATACTGTAAGGGTTATTCTGACCCTTTCATTGGGAAATCGATAGCACTAGAAAGTCAGTGTCTTGCTTCACAGCTATGACAATTTTCCTCCCTCACAATAAGATCACAGTGATAAAGAGAATTTTGAAAATTGTGAAAGCCCTGCAAAGACTTTCAGCACTGCAAGTAAAAACCAGTTATTATAAGCCAGTGTCAAGAGACTGTGAGAAGACCATGACAAGTTTGCTTTAAACATCTAATTTGACTGAAAACATCTGTAAATGGAGAACTTATACCCAGAATATTTTTTAGCTACCACTCTCCCAAATATCAAGGGTGCGCTGAATTCACGACATAACCACGAAAATCAAGCAGCTGCAAGCCCTGCAGGAGGCTGAATTAAAAGCTGCCTCCTCAACATACGTAGTGAGACCTCAAAACCACCTAGCTCCAACCTCAGCTACCGAGACAAAGTCCACCGACCATCGACTCCTACGAAACAAACATGACTCTCGTGCACACCTGTTATCTACTCAAATTACTACTCCCTTCACCTCCCTAGAAAAAGGCCTATTATGTAACATTAACCATATTCTAATTTTAAACATAATTCATTTCTTAAAAAAATAACACTGTCTTTGATAAGATAAAGAACAAAATGGCTTACAGAATGCCACACAACTTTTCACAAGTAGCTAGACAAATTTTCCCTTTCAGAAAAATTAGTCTGTATGCTACAAATTTTAACTTATTTACGTACTATAAGCATCTAGAGTGCCACGTGATTTTTTGTAAGTATATTTAGACAACATAATTAAAATGCAAAAGCTGGGTGTGAGAATATTCAAACATGACCATGATAACAATTTACCAACTAATGACACGTCATTTCTTTAGTGGTTTAAGCACATTTTGGTAGGAGAAAGGCATTTTCAAAATGGAATATCGAATGACATACCACAAAAACTCTTCCAAAAAACAAAACAGAAAATGTCTGAATTACTTAAATAAACTTTTTCAATTAAAACACTTCAGGTTTTAACATATACAGACTTCAAGCAATTCTACTCATTTCCATTAGAAAGACACAGAAGTGGCACTTACTGGTATAGTACAATCCCATTTTGAAGGCATGTAATGTTCCAAATATGTGAAAGAACAATAATAGTATACAAAATACAATTGCATAAATTATGTTCCTCACTACTATATGAGGTCATTTTTAGACTCAAGATAAGAGTTTTATACGCGTTAGTTTTAAGATCCTGAAAATTATAGAACAGTACATTCAAAGTCTGAATCAAGGAAACTCTTTAGTGGTTCAGAATCCTCTGAGAATGTACTAGCCAGGAGAAAGAAATCACTTTCTTTAAAAATAAGAAATGTTTTTGTATAACTCAGCAATCTAGTTCCTTTACCCTTACAGATGATCTTCAGCACAGCAGAGTTACCTAAAGTTAAGACCAGCAATCATCTTTTAAAAAAACAAGTTTTGTGTTAATAAAAAATAAAGGTAGACTACACAACATTTTGTAACTGTCCTGGGAAAGAAGCGTTCATAGTGCACAGAAAGGACCCACATGGCTGTTTCCTGGGTCCAAAGAAATCCTGGGTAGTTTTTAATTGACCTTATTACACTGCTGCAAAAGGAAGCAATATCCTTCTGTTCCCTCTCAGTGAGGTAGAACAACTGACCTCCCAAATTAAAACCCAGGAGCAGCTCTGAAGAAAAACAGAGTCCAGGCAAAGCCGCAGAATTACATTTTGATGCCTTCCTGTTGACTGAGTTGTGACAATGTTTTCTTAATCCGTAAAGCTGTAAGCCTAGCTGCTCCATTGGCATACCAACATTCTCTCATGATTTTTGCCATTACTCTCAGGGCCTACAAGAAAAGACAAGAAAAATCATTAATGCATGCACCACTTTCCAGTGATCTGGATAAGAATCCTTACCTGTAAATGTTCTTTCTAAATGATGTATGTACAAGTTTTTTTGTTTCAGCATTATCTGTAAGAGTAAGTGAATAGAAATGACCTAAATTCCCATCGATAGGGTACTGGTGCCAGCAGCTGGAAAGCAGGTGGACGGGGTGACTGACTTAGCAGACCTGAGAAAGCTGAATCCTAAACCAGAGCCATGCTAGGGAAAGAAGACTCTTGACTCACACTGAAACTCCGCTCAAACCCGAGGAATTCACTGCATCAAGTACCTCTGGGGTGAAGTTCAAGCTAAAAGTAGGTGGAACCAAAAGAGCTGGAAGCCCAGATACCTGCCCCTGCCAACCTCACACAGTAGGGTGACTGCCCCACCCCCACTCTAGCAGAAGAGGAGAGGTTTGTATCTGAAAGGGTGAAACGGAGATTTCTGACTTGGGGAACATGAGGGCAAAGTTCCATACTTACCACACACTAAACGCTAAGACCGTAAACTTTCTCCCCAAAACACGGGCAGCAACTTGTACATACTCCTCCAGGCAAGAGACCGGAAGAGTCTTCTCCGGGGAAAGTGAGCAGCCCAAGAGGAAAAGCCTGAGGACACTGAGGGCAGTCGTGGCCCAAGGAAGCAACCCAGTTAGATGGCCCTAAAGCTCACAGTCAACAAGCTCATTCACGTGCACAAAGCTTCCTCTCGGCTGTCAATGTCCCGTTTTTAAACATGAAGAGAGCATGAGTCTGCTCAGACATTTGTGGAAAGTCCTATGAAATGCAGAAGCTGACACAAACAGAAAAGAGCAACTTGGAGAAACAGAAGCTGCACAGAGAGAAGAAAATACCAACAGTCTATCATTAATATCCTCAGAAACCAAAGGAAATACTGATCCTGGATTTACCACTGATACGTTTTCTGTTTCTTGCTTGAACTGGAAAACAAACCTGATGAAAAAAGATAAAAGCTGAAAACATCCCAGAAAGTGGAGAACAAAGACAAAGAAATGGATAATAGGAGGGAAAAGAGAAGAAAATCAGAGTCCTGTTCAAGAGGTCTAACATTCATAACTAGAACTGAAGAAAGAGAACAGAGGACAATGGAAGGGAACAAATCAAAGAAATACTTTAGGAACATTTCCTAGAAATGAACATTCATTTCCAGATAAAAAGGACCAAGTGCCCAGCACAAACATATATTCATTCAACAAACATTTATTGAGTGCCTACCACCTACCATCCTAGGTGCTAGGGATACAGCAATGAACAAAGAGACAAACTCCCTGCCCTCACAAAGCTTACATTCTAGAGGGCAAAGTACATAATTAATAAATAAGTAAAATACATGAAGTGCCAGTGGTAAGTGCTAAGGAGAAACATCCTGTAGGGAAAGAGATAAAGCATGCCAGGGAAGGAGGACCCTAAACAGGCACAGAGGTCACATCTCACTGACAACGTCACATCTGAGCAGAGACCTGAAAGGGGAGAAATGAGCAAACCAAGAACCAGGAAGACATGGGGTCCAGGAAGGAAGCTTCACCGCAGCAGAGGCACAGGGAGTCCCAAGACGAAAGGTGAGGGACACCCCAAGACGAAAGCTGTGCAGCTGGCCTAGAGCAACCAGTCCAGACGGGAAAAGGTCAGAAGGTTCTGGAAGACACTTCTTTAGGCACTCTATCAGTTTCATATTCTTGATGTGTTTTAACTATTGAGAAGAGATTTATAAAACCCCAGAAAAGTAGAAGACTGAATTAGTGAGAAGTACACAGAAAACTAAAGAAACGGAGACAAATGACAGAGATGGCACTAATTCAGAATGATGTGACAGTAACTGCAAATTGCATGTGTGCTCTTAATGTTAACTGCTAACTTTTCTTCATGCTTAAAAAGCCATCTGTTTAATAATAATCTGCTCTAATTAATGAATGAGTGCACGCATACTTCAAGTCTGCACTTTGCAGTATCGAGATCCAATATTTAAAAGACAAAATCTAGCCCAATTTCATTTGTTAAACATGCAAATTCTTTGAGCTCACTGAGATATATTTTATCTGGGCCTGGATACTTGATTTTGTTGAGGTAGCTAAGGAGCTCTCTTGATGTCAAAGGTTCTACTGAGTCCTAGATTATTTTAAGAAGCCAAATCAACTAGTTAAGTGATCATCTTTTTATTCCTCTTAAGCTATAAAATTCTAATCTGGAAAGAAATGCTCTGCCTCACCAATATTATAATAGTAACAGTTAGCAATTAAGGATAGATTAAATAAAATTTGTCTTATGAATTCTTTAAATTTACAACTACAAAAACACTTCTAAAACTTTCTGTAAGAGTTAGGGTTGAGAAGCTCAGACACTGCTGGAAAGCAGTTTCCCCAAATTCCTCGTGAATGGTCATACGGGCAACCTGATGAATAAGATCTAAAATCATCTGCACCATCTTCGAAATCATCTTATCCAAGTTCTTCATTTTACAACAAAGCGCGTTAAGGTCCAGAGAACTGAAGTGATTTGCCCCAAGTAGATTGAAATGGTAGCCAAACTGGTCTAGAATACAGGTCTCCTAATTCTCATCCAACACTCCCCCTACTCTTGGGGCTGCCCTGGTTGAAGGGAAGCATTCATTTAAATGCAGGCGCTTTGGTTCACTGGCACCTCTAGACACTGTTCTGATACACTGATGCCACTACAAATGCTCCATGGCCCTTTCAATGAGCTTAAAATTGAACACGGAAACCAAATTATTCTTTTTACTCATTGGTTTAGTTGCCAGGAAGAGGAAAGAAAAGGGAATTCTTGTGTCTGTTTTCCTTAAAGAAAAATAGCAAATTTCCACTTACTAAGCAGAAGTTTAGAAAATTACATGGTATCCAAAAGAAATACTCACTTCACAGCTCTGCCATCTGTTTGGAATATTTGGCCTTAACTTCTGTTCACAAACAACTTTTCTCATTTCTTCAACTGATGGATCAGAAGGTACAAGATCATAATAAGGCAGCTGGTAATCTTCATGAATTCCTATATCAGCAAAAAAAAAAAAAAAATCTATTTTAGAGAAAATTACTGAGATAATGCCAGACCATGCTTTGATCAGACAGAAGAGGAACACGCGAGTCCTATTACAGTGTCCCATAACTAAATTAGGCAAGTGGAACAGGGCTTCCAGCTTGCTCTATCTGCATCAACAACGTACCTCCCTAAGTCGGTACTGGGCCCACACCTTGAAACTAAATATCACCACGGGATCAGCAAAGGCTATTTTAATGATGATTAACTATGAGCTGTGACACCAGATTGACATTTTCCCCTAGAATCCTAACGTGCCAGAAATAAGTTTTTATCCTGTGAGGGCACAGCCTCTCATTTGGTACAGGGATATATACACTCTATCAACGAGTTGTAAATCCTAAAAGGCAAGCCTGAGGTGCGAGGCCCTTCCTCTACTTGTATCTGTCAATTACCTGTCCTATTGGCTACAATGCAGAGACATACTCCGCCCCTCACAGCCGCACAAAAACCTGAGGCCCTAGGATCAGCCAAGCCTGGGACCCAGGAGAAGAGACTACACCTTGAGGAAACATCAAGAGTGCTTGACCTAAAACTAAACTTAAAAGTTAAAACAAACTTACTTTTATTTATTTTTTTTTTTAAACAGTTTTACTTATTTATTTATTTGTGAGGAGGATCAGCCCTGAGCTGACATCCATGCTAATCCTCTTCTTTTTGCTGAGGAAGACTGGCTCTGAGCTAAGATCTATTGCCAATCCTCCTCCTTCCCCGCCCCCCCCCAAAGCCCCAGTAGATAGTTGTATGTCATAGCTGCACATCCTTCTAGTTGCTGTATGTGGGACGCGGCCCCAGCACGGCCGGAGAAGCGGTGTGTCGGTGCGCACCCAGGATCTGAACCCGGGCCACCGGTAACGGAGCGCGCGCACTTAACTGCTAAGCCATGGGGCCAGCCCCCAAACTTACTTTTAAAAGTAATGTAATGGCAGTGTAATTGTATTCTGTATATCTAATTTCTAGCTATCAAGTTGGAGAAAATAACCACAATCTCAGGGGGGAAAAAATCAGTCTGACCCAAGTACATGCTAGAAACAGCTTCCTGGATAGCCTCTCAAGCAGTCATCCATTCTAAATAACTATATTCCAAGAAAAAAGGGGTGGGTTTCTGATGCTTCCCAAGATTCAAGTGGAAACAGGAAAAGAATACACCAGGATAAAGCTGTACACTAGGACAAAGCATGTCCCCTCACTACAAGTTTTATCTCCTTTATTTTCTCTGGCTCTCTCAGTGATCACCTGGAGAACACAATTTCAGATTGTTGATAAGTATAAAAAAGAAGGCAATTCTTGAACAACTTCTGTTCATGACAAACTGTTGGGGGAAGGGGGAGCAATTTACCACCAATGGAACATCGTCGAGCTATTTCCCAGAACACTAAGCCCATTGCATAGATGTCGGCACGCTTGAAGGATTCAAAGTGCTTCATATTTATGGAATCATCTAGAACTTCAGGGGCCATGTACCTAAAAAAGAAGTCAGCATTTTATTTTATGGAATGGTGGCTATATTACTTGTGAACTGTTTCATAAGTTTTCTTTTACTCCTGATAATTAAAAAGAAAAACATTAACTTTAAGACTTTTCTTCCCTTTCAGCATGGTTCTGCTGTTCTTTAAAATGACTTATACTTCTTATAGAAATTTTCCCAAAGGACATAATGTACAAAGTGAAACATCATTCCATTACTACCACACAATGTGAACAGTTTGATAAACATCCTTTCAGACATCTCTCTATACGTAGATAGACATATACATACAATATTACTTAACTGAGATCATATTAGACTCAACAAAAATACTATATATCCACACTGGTTTACAAATTAATGATGTCAACTAAATCCCATGAAAAGCTGAAACAGCAATGTCATGCTATCTGCCTTCTTTTAGTTTCAATAACAGACACACGTGTAACAACTGTGTGACTGTGACAAATGTCCTAATGTACACCAACTACTTTGTCATGTACTTTGCAAGGATCATATATTTTAATCTAGAAGTCTTCTCACTAAAATAGGATGAAAGGAAGGGCAGGGAAACTCCAGGGAACAAAATAATAGATTAAAGTCAATGCCAGTCCTCCTATTGATGCCACATTGCAGGGTTCTGAAGTTTTAAAAACCCTACTAAGGTTACAGATCGGAATCCACGAAGACCTGCAGCAACCACTGTCCTGGAATCCTGAGTCGACAGTTCTGCGAGTCCCTGTTAAATCCAGAAATCATAAACACAACTTAGATAGAATAAAACTTGGCTCTCTTCAAGGCCAAGGCAGTAGTTTGAAGATATGTTGTGGCAACATGCTGTGATACACAGAGCAAGCCCTTTTGGGTCAGAAAGGCCCAGGTTCCAATCTCTGCTCTTCGGCTTACCATCCCCACGAGGCTGGCCACATCACTTAACCTCCATGAGGTGGTATCCTCATCTGTGAATTGAGGGTAATGACACCTACCTAGTTAGATTCTCTTGAGGACTCATGGATTCAACATACATTTACTGAGGACCTACTGTAGGCACTGTGACGAATGCTGGGAATACAAGGTTGCTCTCGAGCAGCCTGCAATCCCATGGAATATACAGACAAATAAATGGACAGCTACAACATAATGTGGTAAATGCCTCAGTGGTTCAGCATGCTATGTGAGCTCTTGGCAAGAACACCTAACAGTCCAGAAAAGGCTTCCAAAGAGAAAGGAAGGCTGAGTACAAGTTAGGGAAACAGTAGGGGGAAGTATGCTCTAGGATACAGCACATGAAAAAGTTGTAAGGAAGAGAAAAAGGCATATTCTTAGGAACAGAAAATATGAAAATAGTTGGGCTAGCTACAGCACATTTGAGGAGAGCATTAAATGAGTAATATATATAAAGATCCATTAAAATGATTGGCACATAGTAGGTACCCTATAAACATTAGCTATTATTGTTATTATAATTAACATAACTAATGATAATATTTTGTGGAAGGGCCACCTTTCATCAGCAGGCATCTTTTTAATTTTTAAGTCAGGTAACCTTGGCTTCAGAGCGGGCAAGACCATGAGATCTTCTACCTGTGGACAATCTAATAAAGTACAAGTTTGAGTTTCAGAAAAGATAAGTATATACAAATGAGAAGAAGAAGGAAAAGAAACTGATTTCAGAATATGTTAAATACTATTCATTCACAAGTGTACCTTTTTGTTCCCACTCTGTGGTTTGGAGCAATATCAATAGTATCTGTAGCCGAGTCATGTCTTACTGCCAGTCCCAAGTCTGCAATACAGCAAGTTCCATTCTTCTTTACCAAGATATTCTTTGATTTCAAATCTCTATGAGCAATGGCTGGTTTTCCTAAAGAAAAAAAACAAAACATGATTACTTAAAAGCTAATACCAATCACAATTCTCACCTTTAGGTTCAAAAGCCTAATCTCTTCCCATCCCAGTATCAAAGCATTTCAGCCCACATCACCCGCAATACCTGGGCCATTACTTAACAACCTCAAGTGAATCATTATACCAAAAGTTGCTGAAATTACGTTTCTTCAAAGAAAATTAGATGCTCCCAACAATGATGTCCAAAATATGTGAGTCTAACAACTCAAAGACTGGGGGGTTAAAGATATTAGTTTGTTGACAACCTGTGATTTATAGGAACTCTAGTCACAGACTGATAATCTAGTCCAAGAATCTAGATCACCTCCTTTGCCTGTAAACTGGAATGTATTCATTATTAAATGTACAACCTTGAATACTGACGACTAGAAAAAGTGCTATTAAAAATAATTGTAACATGGGGCCAGCCCAGTGGCGCAGCGGTTAAGTGCGCGCACTCCACTTCAGCAGCCCGGGGTTCACAGGTTCGGATCCCAGGCGCAAACCGACACACCGCTTGTCAAGCCATGCTGTGGCAGCGTCCCATATAAAGTAGAGGAAGATGGGCATGGATGTTAGCCCAGGGCCAATCTTCCTCAGAAAAAAAAGAGGAGGATTGGCATAGGATGTTAGCTCAGGGCTAGTCTTCCTCACACACAAAAAAAACCCACCGTAACAATAATCACAATGTGGAATACTTGGAACCTTCGTACACTGCTGGTGGGAGTGTAAAATGGTACAGGCACTTTGGAAAAAATAGTCTGGCAGTTCCTCAAACTACCAGAGCTACTATATGATCCAGTAATTCCACTGCCAGGTATATATCCAAGAGAACTGAAAACACAGATCCACAAAAAATCTTTACACCAACGTTCATAGCAGCATTATTCATAATAGCCCAAATATCCATCAACTGATGAATGGATACACAAAATGTGGTAAATCCATACAATGGGATATTACCCAGCCATAAAAAGGACTGAAGTACTGATACATTCTACAACACAGATGAACCTTGAAAATATGCTAAGAGAAAGAAGCCAGTCACAAAAGATCACATATGATTCCATTTGTATGAAATGTCCAGAATAAGCAAATCTTAGAGATGGAAAGTAGATTGGTGGTTGCCTAGGGCTAAGGATTTTGAGGGGAAAGGGGGAGGCACTGCTAATGGGTACAAGGTTTCTTTTTGGGGTGATGAAAATGTTCTAAAATTGACTGTCATAATAGTTGCACAATTCTGTGAATATACGAAAAACCACTGAATTGTATACTTTAAATGGGTGTATTGTATGATATGTGAATTATAACTCAATAAAGCAGTTATAGTCAACAATAATAATAATTACAAAGATGGGGCTGGCTAAGACGTGAAATAGCATGTGTGCAGTAAAGTGGGGAGTGGGGGAGCCATCAGGTAGCAAGTGCTTAATCCCTAGAGCAGAGAGATATACTGGCATCTGCTATCCCACACAGCACAGAAATCACAGCGTAAAAATTTCATAACTAAAACTTAGTATTTAATTTTTCAACTGTAAAAGTATCTCATGCAGTCTCCTTATCTTAGGGTCAAATATAATTGTTAGACGGCCAGATAACATTTATATAGTATGTTGATATTTACAAAGCATTTTCACATTTCATTTGATACTATACATAAAAATACATTCTCTTAAACTTCAATTTTAAAATCAAGATCCTCAAAAATCACAAGTAAGACTGAATGCTACTTTTAAGAACTCACAAAAATATCAGTGTTGTTACAATGACTAAAGAATCTCTAAACAAATTCCCAGATTCCCAGCTCCATCTGAAATTTTCAACAGAAAAAATAAAATATTCTCATCTAAAAATTCATTTTAAAACATCTCCAATTAGGGTGACTTCTTACAAAAATTTTCTGAACAGATATTACATTAATGGGAATTTCAAGCTTAAATAACAGGATTGCTTCAAGTTACCTTGGGTACCAACAATCTCCATGTGAAGATGGGCAAGTCCACTTGCCGTGGACAGAGCAAGTTTTATCATCCCTTCCACAGTAACTGTGTATCTGTTCAAATAATCAAAAAGGGATCCATGCTCATGATAATCTGACACCAACCAGAGCTGAGTCCATGTACCGTTGTCTACAAAGTAGAATAACAATGTTTCACATGGGTTATAGGACAGTTATAATTTATTTATCCAAAAGTTATTCACTTTTTACTCTCAATCTTGAATCCCACAACTGCAATATGATAGTACTTTAAGTTCGTATATATTTTATTGTATTTTCAATTTGTCTTATGCTTTTACATCCATTTCCTTTAGATCCTCAGAGTAAGCCCCTTATTCTTGAGATAAGGCAAAGATAACTAACCCCATCTAAGAGACAAGGAATCACAGTTAAACAACGGTGATCTTGAGTCTACACAGACAGTAGCAGAGCCAGGACCCTTTGGTGCCTAGAAAAAAGCCTGGTTCAGGTTAGGTGCTGAATGGTTGTTTCTGGAAGGAGGGAGGGAAACAAAGAGAAAGGGAGGAAGGTGAGAAGTATCTGGTGCCCAGTGTCACCACAGTGGGAAGGGAACAGTATGGGACAAAAGTGAAAGGAAACTGAAATGAAGAAATGCAAGTTTTAATGACAAACTCTGTATGTAGTTCACAAAGAAGCCAGACGAGATGATGATTATGATTCCAAGGTTTCCAGCTTAGAAAAACATAAAAGTAGTGGTATCGCTGACACACAGAGAAGCCGAGAGAGGAACTGAAGCGTCAGGAGGAGAAAAAGCTGGGAATGACCTAGTTTACAGAAGGTGATTTTGAACCTCAGCAACTAGGAATGCACGTTCCAAAAGTTCGTTTGTAAGTGGATACGTGAACAGGGTATCCTGGAGTCATTCTGACCTGGTTGGAATCCAGCGCCTGGCTGTTACTGACTGCGTGAGCTCAGACAAGTTTCTTAACCAATGAGCCTCAGTTTCTTCTCTTCCACAAGAATACCTTACTTTACAAGACCATTAAGAAGACTTAAAAAACAGGATAATAGGTGTTTTACGCGTTTAATGCTTGGCACATAAGAACTTTAAATGTGCTGTTTCCTTCTTTATTAGTTGTAAAAAAGAAAAACCCCAAATTGACATAAAACTTCTGTATTTTGAAGGTTGAGAAAGCAACTCTGATTAGAAGAGATTAAGGAAGGAGATGTTTCCAGAAGACGGATTTCTGGGTACTTTCAAAAGGATTTAGAGATTCACAATACTAGTTCTTTATAAACTTGTTCTTCATAAACTTTATAAACTGGTTCTGTTCAAACTTGTACCTTTTGTTTTCCTTGACAGGTGCATCGCTAGCTTTATCTGCATGCTTATTAATCATGACTGAATTCTGAAAGGCTCACAACTGCAAGAAATAAATAGGAACACAGGAAGATGGAAGAAAGGAAGATTTTCTGAGGTAACTGAGGAGAGGCAGAAGGAAAAAGGATATGTAGGAGGCTGTGCACATATAAAGGGTTGTCTGAGGTGGAATTAACTAAATCAGGAGGCTAAGGATAACGGAAAAGGGAATGGGGTAGAGGGGCTAGGTTCTGGGCAAAGTCCATTAACCCCTGACAAAGAAAAGAGGAGGGGTAGGGAGGAGCCAGCAGGGTCAGCTAGTTCCCATGGTGACCACCAGATGACAGCACCAGCTTGGCCACTGCTTGAAGCAAAGGGGAAGAGAAAGCTCAGGGCACGGCAGCAGCAGCGTTTTCTGCCAGTGTGTCTGCAAGCGGAACACGCCTAAGACGTGGTGGGCCTGGGTGAGGTTTGAGCCTCAAAATGCAGATATGAAAGTCACCACCACGGCAGAGTCTGAAGCCACAAATGTGGGTAAGTTTTTTAAGGGAGCAATTACTATTTGCAGAATTAGACCCTTCACATGAATCAGTAAGAAGAGTTTCAGAAAATGAAGATGACTATTAAGAAATAAGAAATAAAGAAAATCTAGTCACAGAATATAATAAAGGTTGTTTTGAGAGTTGGGGGAGAAGCTAAATGGTGTCAAAGGCTGAAGAAAATGAAAACGAAGGACTTAGACTACGATCGCTGTTTTATTTGCTTTGTTTTTAAATTAAGTAATGTTGAATTGGTAGTAACCATTGATAATCACTGCCTATATCCATCACATCCATCACTGCCCCCAAGTCACAGAAAAGAGATAATCAAACATTACATGCCTCCTGATGTGATACAGAGAAAGTACACAACACAGGAAGTATATAATATTTTCAGGAAACCAGTAAAACTTAATCAGATTCAGTCTCTAATTCTAACTATCAGTTTTCAAATAATACAAAGAGTAAGATCAGAGATACTATGGGAACTCAATTAGTAAAATCCAGAATGTGATAAGTCCTACAAGACAAACAATCGAGTTTCTTCAACAAATAAACTGCAAGAAGAAAAACAGATGGAGGTGGAACCTAGAGATTTTAAGGGACTTAAGATAAATATCAACCAGATGCAATGTGTGGAATTTGGATCCTAAAGTGAATAACCAGTTGTTTAAAAAAAAAAAAAACAGGAGACAACTGCAAAAATTTGAAACTGACCAGACATTTGATGTCATTTTAAAAACTGACAATGGTTGGTGTGGTTATGTTTCATAAAAAGATTCCTCATAATCTAAAGATACAAACCGAAAATGTTTACGCATGAAAAGATATGTTATCTGGGATTGGCTTCAAATAATTTAGTTAGGGGCAGTGTAGGTGGAATCAGAGATCAAATACGACTGGCAGTGAGTTTAGTTGTTGAAGGTGGGTGACGGGGGTTCGTTATACTATTCTCTACTTTTCTATATATTGGACATTTTCTACAAATAAACCTTTAAAAAATAAACAAATAATAAATGCTTGTTGTAAATAAATTTAAAAATACAGAGAAGCAAGAAGGAAAATCATAAAATCACCCAGAATCGCCAACTGAGATTAAACACTGTTAATATTTTGAAGCAATAAACATTGTTGGAAAAAAACGGGAATGGAGAGAAGAAAAAACATGGCTACGCTTCTGGCCAACCTAAAAAAGATAAGAACAGCATTTTTTTTTTAAATAGGAAAGCTGGGAAATACATTTGACTCAGGCTGGGGACGAGGAGAGCTGTAACACAACCTCTGACAGAAGCTATAAACCCAGGAATTGTGGGCACAAGGGCAGTAACTGAAGCCAAGAAAGTAGCTGAAGTAGAGTCTGAAATCACTGCTCAGGGACCACTTGGACTCTCACTCGCAGCCTCCTTGCTTCCTCAGCCTCTGATCAGACCCTGGGCCTCAAGCATCTGCACCAGAGGCAAGAAAGTGTCCACGTGGTCACCCACGGCAAGGCGGTTTTGGAGAAACTATTTCTCAATTTAACCGAGTTTACTTAATAGATTAATCTATTAAGCCCCAGGCAACTTAAAACGCAGAACACATTGAGAAGTTCTTTTTACTCTCCCTATAAATAATGTCATTAGTACATATTAGAACACCCTAACGGTCAGGAAGAGATTCAAAGGAAACAGGTATCCGGGCCCTATCCTACCTCAAAATTTTGAGCACCCAGAGTTTATAAATTTTTTTCTATGTTATGTCTACACTCAATAACTAACTGCCAAGAATAACAAAAGCACATGGCTTTTTTATAGCTCTTTACATTTTATAAAACAATTAGAGATTGAGTAACACGTCACGAGTCAAGAAAATCTAAAAAGTTCCTGTTTCAAAAGGCTTCTAACATATTCCAATTGACTAATGGGTCTAATCTATACGACACATCTATTTCTCATCACACTTGACAATGTTCAGCAGCCATATCTATAGAAAGACTTAACTAGATTTTGTTATACCCAAAGGAGCAGCAAATGTTACTGACCTTTATTGTCTGCTGCTATAAATCCCAAGATGTTTTCATGACGTAACATTACAGTTTGATAAATCTCTGCCTCACGGAACCATGAACGTTCTTCTCGAGAGGAGAATATTTTAACAGCAACTTCTTCTCCTCTCCACTTCCCTCGCCAAACTTCTCCAAATCGACCTTTGCCAATACTTTCTTGTAACACGATAGTTCTTGCGATTGTTCTCTGAACAAGCAATGGTAAACCTAAAGGTAAAAATAAATAGTAGTCAATATAAACAATCACTATAGTATTTCTAACACCACAACAGGCATAAAAGAGTGACCTAGAAAGGTATAACTCCTTAAGCTCTACCTGTAAGGAATTTAGTCTCACTGAGGAGCTAAAGACTACATTCGCAAAAATAGTAATTCATGATAAAAGGAAAATAATAAATACAATAAAAGAACCCAGAAATTCCTGCCCAGAGGGTCAAGGTAGGCTTTGTAAAGTAAGTTGAATTTAGACTGTTGTTTACGGAAGGGATAGGACCAAAGGAGAAAAGAAGGCGGTAAGGTGTTTAGGTAGGAGGAATGCAGGCAAAGGCAGGAGGAGGAAATGAATGAGACACGTTTAGGGAACCAGTGTAGATCAACAGAACGGGGATGTATGTGGTAAAACAGTGGAACAGAAGGTAGGTAAGCTATCACCAGAATACGAAGAGCACTGAAAGCCAGGCTCAAGACGACCAATGAGAGCTGTGGACAAAAGAGGGATTTCTGAAACAGGGCCATGAATGGGGAAAAATAATTTAAAAGTCTTATTTTAGAAAGATGAATCTGGTAATGGTTTTACTGATGGGAAGAGAAAAGTATGTGAACACTAGAAACACGGAAGTAAATTCTGGCCTAACTTCTAATAAATCAGTAAAAATTATCACAGAAACCATTTCAAGACAAGTGATTTACTTGCTGGGAACTAGCTGCCTAGGCAACACTAGTGTCTCCAAGAATGATACCAACTAACTTACCTTGGTAAGGGGACATCAGCATTTTTTCACCAACTGAACTTGCCTTACCTCTTAAATACATATTTCTAAATAGTGCCACACTTATTTCATTTACAGAAAAGAATTTACTAACTACATAAAACAATGAAGTAACACTATATTTGGGCCTATTCCAATTCACTTAATATCATACCCTCATGGACTAAGGAACTGTCTTCTTAAATTATACTGATGCTGACAACTAAAATACCAGTGTACATCATGTTCTACACTAGTATTTTACTTATATAATCTATTACACATAATTTGTATCATTTATAATCTATATTCAGAGTTGCCTGCTGGATCAAATTAACCCAATGATAGTAAACGAAATTATCTGCTCTCTTTGGTTCCCTGATGTGAAATGCTTATAAATCTAAATGTTAAGTCTTTAAAGTGATCAGAAGTTTTTCTCTTTTCATCTTTAAGTTTCTCAAACGGGTCCTTCCCTCCTCTTGCTCTCTATCCTTCCCACCTCCTACAAAGTAGTTAGCAGTCTAATCATAAACAATTGTTTTTATGTTTATAAGGAGACTGCTAGTTAAAAATAGATTTGTGAAAAATCCTTACTTAAATCAAGGAGCTCTTTTGTATTATGAATAATCAATTCCTAATTATGCTGTTTAGTGTAGATACTAATTTACGAAATTTTCTTAAAGCCTCTGAACAGGGCCACACCATGTACTTCAGATTTAAAGTACATTTAAGAGTTAATTTCAGGAGGCCAATCTGAAAGTTAGAAAGGCAAAGAATAAAGAAGAAACAGGAATCACAAACGGGAAGTATGAAAATACCTGACACATTCAGGACTCCTGAAAATGGTATGGTCAAGAAAGGCTAATGGGACAAGGAAAATTTTTAGCTTCCCCATCACCACTGGATTCTAGATGCAGAACTAGAATTAAAAGCCAAATCTAGATTCATCATATTATCTATAATTGGTTAATATAACCCATATGAATACCTGAGCGTTTTTAAAAAGTAATAATTCTCTCAAACAGGCCGAATTTGGATCTCTATATTCTCTGCTTTACTTTTCTGTACCTTTAGAACTGCTCGAGAGAAAACTCCAACAGGGAAACAGGGTCCAAGCAGCTTCACATGCAGTGAACAACAGAAATAAGATCTGAACAACATGCATACATTATAAGAGATCGTAAGCATGAACAAGACATAACGAACACTGGCCTAACAGACTCACTCTCTTTCAAAAACTGGCACACATGTGCATGCTCACACACACTTTATAGTCTAATGACAGCTTAAATAAGGGCACATGCACAACCTGTGATTCAAATTAATGCAACAGGGATTAGGTTACCTTCAAGGTTAGAGCTGCCAGAACCCAGCTCTCCACTGTCTTACCTGTAGTTCCCAAGCTATAAAGCACAGTCTTTGAGAGAGAGCGAGCGAGATAGGGCTTTTCCTCACTTATGGTCATGGTACTGAGTAATAAACATGCGAATTCATAACACGAAATGTTTCGTTTTACTTTTTCCTCAATGACTGAAAGAACTAAAAGGGCTATTATGTATAGACATTTTACTTACTCACAGGCATGAGTCCCACGCATGACGTGGCATTAGGCTTTACAGAAGGGAAAGAGATGGCATTTTTTGCTATCATTCAACAAAAGACAGCTTCTGTCTGGATAAATCTGGAGGCCATTCAGCACACAATGAACTATGACAGGGAAAGGAGGCCTTAAACTAAGCTTTTTTGTACCATGCAGTAAATTGATACTGTATGTCAGATTTTTCTTCCAAATATCTTTTCAATAAGGGTAACACCTGTCATTTGGACATAACTTCACAATTCACCAAATGCTTTCACACAAACATCTTATCTCATTTGAACCTCACAACAATCCAATGACAAGCACAGGGCAGGGTTCATTACTTTCATTCTAAAGATGAAATAACCCAGGCAAGAGACATCAGCTAACTGCCCAAAGCCATAGAGCTAGCAAACAACATCGACAAGTTTTTGCAGGGTAAGGCATAAAAGGAGGGAGAGAAGCTTTCAGACAATAGAGCTGTGGTCTCTGATGGATCTAGAAATACAGATAAAATGGAAAAAGAATAATTCCATTCTTTACTTCACGTCTGTATCTTAAAAGGCAAATAAATGTATCCTTATTCAGAAATCAACTGACATTCAGATAGCAATTTCTTTTAATTCTTTAGGTAGGCTTGTTCCCCTTGAGGCTTCATACACACCACTGTGCCAAGTGGCCAGAGCTGCTCTGACTTCCCCGGATGTAAGTCTGGTAACAAGAGATCAGGTCCAAGGGATTAATTCCAAATGATCTGTAGCCACCCTGCTTTTCTGTGACTTTGGTCCTTGTTTGTCATAGTTTTTGGGTCCAGGATGACTTCTAGAATGAGCCAGATCTTCTTTGGGAGCCCTTTGGACTAACTCAGAATCAATGGGGAACCCCAGGAAGCCCTAAACAATCTCTCTCCACTCCTCCACCACTCCTGCCCAAAGACTGTCACATCTTCAGTACTAAGGCTAAATCTCAATCCAACCTCTCCTTGCCTCCCTCCTCACAACTGTCTCAGGGGTTCCTAAAGGCTGCCTTAAGAGACCTAAGCTCCAGTGCAAGCCTATATGTGTCCTAGTAGTCATAACAGAACTCCCTTATTGAATATATATGGCCAAATTCTACAGAAGACTTCAGGTCATGAAATTGGTTTCTCCATACTTAAATGAATGAACAGATATGGATATACATCAATATATATTCATTTCCTTAAAATAAATAGACATTTGTCATTATGTGAATTTTCTGTATTATCAGATGTGATTTTGTGCTTCAGAGTCATATTCTTCCCCTAGTCACAATTTCTGCTTTAATGTTCCTTTAGTCACTTGATTATAAAATTAGTGAAATTTTCATTATATCTATTTTCAAATCTTCATTTTATCCATGAATCTAGCCCTTATTTGAAGTTGATTTATACTTTTCAAAGGATAGCATATCCATTTAAAAGTCCTAACAAACCACCTTAAGTATTATTACCAACAGTATCTGTTCCATATTTCTGATGAGGAAACAGAAGCCCAGAGAGGAAGCAGCATGGTTTAACCAAGGTCAGACAGCCAATCAATGACAAAGCTTGCACTGGAATCTAGATCACTTGTTTCCTGTCCAACTGTCAAATTATAGTAGTGTAGAGGATAGGGGTCTTCCTCTCTTAGTATCCTTCCAAAGCACAAGCAAGAAAAAGTGAAAAACAGGGCCGGCCCTGTGGCTTGGTGGTTAAGTGCGCGCGCTGCGATGCTGGCGGCCCGGGTTCGGATCCCGGGTGCGCATCGAGGCACCACTTCTCC